CAGGCAGGGCAGGTTTAAATATTTGACTCATTAGAAGGGCTACCTGTACCCAGAATGTTTGAGGGAGATGACAGATAATACACATGTATCACCTCCTATATTCTCAATCCATCACACCTGGCTGGTAATGCCATACATTTTCTGCAGCTGCCAATAGTTCAGACACTGAGGGGAAGTGGGAGGACACTGTATGTCTGCTGAGAAATATAAAGATAGGAAGACTTGAATCTGTAAGAAGAGTTCTGAAATTGGGGAAATTCCTGACAAAGTAGAAATAGAAGAATTGTGGCCCTTTCTGTTGCCTTGAATGAAGAAGGGAGATTCCTGAACTGTTGAGTGAAGAAGTAGACATTTCTAAAATGTGAGGCATTCCTAATGAAGTAGAAGAAGAAAGAACTATGCGCTTTCCTGCTGTCATGAGTGGGGAGAAGAGAGGGAGAGAGACTTGAAAGGGTGAAATCTTCCACTTTTGGCCGGAGTGGAGCTAGTGATAGAAGAAGGGAGACACCCCCTTTCAGCTGCTGGAGCCAGAAGGGAAAAAGAAGCAAACCTCCAACACTTCCAGACTCTTGAGAGGTAGATGGAGCATAGAAAGGAGGATGGGTTAAGAGAGAAACCAGTGACTATCAGGCACTGGTAGTGGCTGTCAGGTAAATAGACAAGATACAGATGGCTTTTTTTCTAGATCACCTTAGAGACCTTTCCCAAGTCTAGCCTTGGGAAAGCAGTGTAGTGTCAGAGGTTATTTGATTTACTGCCCAAAGCTGACTGGGGAGCCTGGCAGATAACTCATTGATACATATCCACTATGAACCCCAAAATGTTTGCTGGCTAGTTACAGACCGCTCAGATCCCTTTCAGTGTATATGTGAAATTGGGAGTATGCATCACTTACATTTATTTAAATTGAACTGCCACTTTAAAGAGTTCCTTTGGGAGCTATTTACAGTGACTTTTGTATTCACCACCAGTGAATAGATTGGTATCACCTATAACTGAGCCAGTTGATTGCTTAGCTATAAACCAAGATAATTTAGGAACAAATTTCAAAGCATTGATTCCAGCACAGATCTTTGAGGGACTCCACTTCTCACTTTCCTCCATTGAGAAAATTGCCCATTTATTTCTACCCTTTGCTTTCTGTTTTTAACCAAGTAATGATCCTCTAAGCCTGTGATTGCTAAGTTTTCTCAAGAGTTTGATGATATCTGACCTACATTCCATGTCCTGTGTGAAAAAAAGGAAATCCTCATTGTTATAGCAGATGTGGGTTTCTTAGCTCTCTTCCAGCAGTATAGAACATGGAAAAGCAATATGGAAAAGAGTTCTCCCCAGGCAGATATTTTCACTGATGTGCCTCCTTTCTCTACATAATACTTATAATCAGTTACTGTATTTTTCCATCTATAAGATGATACTTTTTTCTAAAAACATTACTCTAAAAATTGAAGGTGTCTTATGCAAGGAAGTAAGCCGAGGAGAGAACCGTGCAGTTGTGAAACTGCCCATACTTTGTCTCTGCAAACAGGCTTCCTCCAATCACGAGCCTCCAATCATGAGTGAAACTGCCCATACTTTGTCTCTGCAAACAGGCTTCCTCCAATCACGAGCCTCCAATCATGAGTGAAACTGCCCA